GTCAGGGAAACACTCTGACGATACATCTCATGATACCTCGCATGTTGCATACCCCCCAATGCCTCCAGTGAAAGAGGTAGATACCAGAGGATTTTGGGAAAAGGTATGATAACCTGCGGCGATTATTGAACTAATCGGCTAAAATATCCACCATCTCCTAGGTTCTGCCAGAGTCTCTCGCATGTCGTCTCTACGTTGCTACGGTGCTCATAGAGACTGCAATCGACCTAACGATCGAAGGGGAACTATTGCTCCGTGTGCGGAAGGAGACAGAAGGCAATGATGAGATATCAGCACGAAAAATGCCTGTCTATCTCAGCATCTTTGCTCTTGCCCAGTTCGCATCCCCACCTCTGCTCGCCTTCTCCCCTAACATTTTCTGGATAGCGTCTTCCAATTTATTATGGCAGTCGATGCCGTGTATGCCCGTAACACCCTTCAATTCCTCTGTCTAACGCAAGTGCTTCTTTCGGCTCCATGTTTTTTTGAGCTCAACGCCCTTCTAGTGTTTTCAACGCCCTTTTCCTTGTCTATGCCATTATTCAGATCAATGAAGTGCGGCAAGCACTTTCTGGCACTGCAACCACCGGCGTTTCAACTATCCCCATTGATGTCCTCACAACCATCATCCCTATAGTCATTTCCGTGGCCGAAATTGCGTACATCGGTCTCGGCTGGAAAATATACAACGAATTTGGTTGGAAAGTATACAAGTTCTTGGGTGCCGACAGGAGGATCAAGAAGATGTATGCCAGCTACCAAATCTACGAGTGTCTTATCAAATTCGATCTCTTCTTCTGGGTGGGTTTCTCAGTGCAATTCATCTGGCTGGTGCTACAGACCAACGATTGGGAATACTATGTCACATGCGCTGCACTACCGCTGTCGATTGTTCTCCTTGTGGAAGGCCATCTCGCTGCACGGCATGAAAATAAATGGATGATGGCGACCTTCATGTCCGGTTGTGTGGGAGCAATGATATACTTTGTCTACAAGGTTTGTTCTTTTCACAGCTGTGTTGGTATATACGCTAACCATTTGAAAAGCTCATCAAGGTGCTCATCAACATGGAGACTCCACAATTTAGACTTATATGGAAGTCGCTAACTGTTTTTTGTGAGTGGCTTTATCACTAACACCCTGAACAACCCGCGTGCTGAGCTACAATATCAGCTATAATCGCGTCCGCCCTTTTACTGGTAACCTTTGTATTCTCGGTCATCGTATTGAGAAACTTTGGGCGTGGTCTGAAAGACGCATGTGAGTATTTATACACACCACCGAAAGTGAAGCTAAGACTTGTTTGCTATAGTATCAAGGCGAAATGCATCTCAACACAAACGATTTGCTTCGCAAAATCCTCATCGAAGAGCGGCGAGTATGAATCCTAACCGCATGACCATCGATTGAGCCACTCTGCCACGAAAATTATTGTACTGATTTGCATGGTCACCCCCACCATGACATACGAGGAACGGACATTACACATGATCAAAGCACAGCAACTTGGCATTTCGCATATCCCACCGCGCATCTTCACCTTATTTTACCTTATATCATAAATTCAAACTTCGCCCTATCACGCTCGCTGGCAACCTGTCGATCCAGGTGTTCATTGCCATACCCCACACTCTTTCTTTCGCATTTTGATTACGTTTTAGGAAAGATTATTGCGAGTGATATAGATGTATTCCTAGTCCTCTTGAATGTGACCCGTTCCGATCCTCCCTGCAACACTTTGAACTTTAGAAATAAAACATTTACGGCTCCATATGGGGCAACTTTGACCAGGGTGGTGTCCGCCAAACGTGGCACTGTAACTCCAAACTTGGCTGCAACAAATTATGCAACTCTCATACTTACTCTTCTAATATCCTGCCCAAACACGAATGTCCCAACGGTAACACACCCGTATGTTGATATGTTTCCGTAACCTGAGAAGCCCCGCCTAGATTCAGACCAGCCTCGCTCCGGGATCGGTCCTCTCTCCTAGGCACAACACCCCCCGCATCCGGACGCTCCTCTCCATTCAACGATCCGTACCAGCAGGGCAACGGGCACCGCTTCGCAGACGACCTCGAGGGCCAGAACGACGAGGCACTGGAGGGTCTCAGTGCAAAGGTCAAACTGCTCAAGGATGTGAGTGAGTTGGCTCCAGGCTGCGTCCAACCTCCGCTGACCTTGCGTGCAGATCACAATAGGTATTGGAAATGAAGTAAGACAATCAACGGCAGAGCTAAGCCAAATGGTGCGCTGGCCCCGTTGTTCTCAGCTTGGCTAGCTGAATATGATCCTGAATCGGCAGAACGATGCTTTTTCCGAGACATCTGGAATTCTCGCTGGGACATTTCGACGGATGAACAACATGGCGGAGAGGCAGGGGTGTCGGTGGCTATGGTATATAATCTTCCTCACCATTGTTTTCTGGTTTTTCATCGTCATGTGGTGGTTCCGGAGATGAACAGCAGGCAATAAACATGTTATTCTCAACAATTCCAAGATTTACACCAGCGGATGAAAGTCGAATTATAGGATGTACAGCACAAGTATGGATGGATGCAGTCATAACAAATAATGAAGGATGAGCCTAATACTCATCACGCAACCTCGCACTACCAATTTCCCAAATCATCCTTCTGCGGAGATAGTGCATATTGTTCTGGGAGAAGCGGAATGACTCCACCCCTCGCGAGAGTGATTCGAGGAATTGGCAGGTAAATACTCCGCAATCGTATCCATTTTCCTGCTGTGGTGTGTCCTAGTATGAAACCAAACTGAGACAACGAGGCGGTAGGAGTGTCTGAAATAAATACCTCCGGAGCCCAATCCACCCAGCCCGTAAAATCAAAGGCCTTCCGCTTTTTTTCACGATGCTCGGCGTCGACATATGCACGCAAATGCTGTAGGCGGAACGGGTTACCATTGGTGTTATCAAATTATCAGAGTCCTCGCACCCGAAACACAGCACTCCTTGTCATTCCCATGCTATCATATGATTCAATCCTCTTTTGTCTAAAGTTGATTGCGGCGGCCGTCCAGTGCGCATTTGCATGGTTCACGGGTATGAGAATAATATCCTTGTTGAAGATATCCATCTAGGGGCAAATGTTTTAGCACGGAACTCGGGATGGGTGTGGGCGGATCCACTTTTTTGGTCCACTTTGACAGCCGCCCTTTCGCGTAGCCATCGCCCGTCAGCTTGGGCCAGAAGAAGGTACTGAACACATGCACATCCAATACCTGGCCACCTTTCGCGGCTTTTCCGGGGGTCCCAATATTCTTCTTACAGTCCTCTGAGCGTGTCAATATCAGCGCACCGTAAAAGTTGATAATTTCGTCATTCAGCCACTGTCCATGGCCTAAACGAGTGAGATCACGATCCGTGACTTGTTCCCGCGCGATCTTGGACACTACGCCCCGTTTCTTCTTCAAGCGTTCGACGGTGGTTTCATCCTCGGGTGGGAGGGAGTCAGGGAAGGGTGGTCGGAGGAGGTTGTCGATCCGCTTAAGTTTGGCTCGTTTTGTCAAGAGGAGCCGGTCATGACCAGGGCTAAACGATTGGATCGGTTTGTGCCTAGTTATAAAAATCAGAATAGTCAGATTTTCGGAAACCCAATACTATGGCACGGCGACTGACCCATTCAACGTGGCCCGGGCAGCCTCAAGGGCGCGTTTCAAAAATGCAATATCAACCTGAGAGCTGGTGAGGGATGGGCGATAAATAGTTCTGCTGGAACTCACGCTAGAATGCGAATGACGTCGCGCCCTCGTGGATTCAGATGGTCTATTAAGCCGTGATTCGTCCAACGAAGGCGAACCTGGAATAATTTGGTTAGCCTATGCTGGTCACCACGAAAACCAAATGCATACGCGATATAACCTCCTTCTTGCCTTGCAGAGCTTCCAAATGAGCCTTATAACTAATATAATCTAGGGTGCGAGGTTGGGGATCAAGGGCCAAAACGACGGGAGAAACACGCACGCTTGAAAGTTGTAAAGTCCGATTTATATCCTGGGATCCAATATAGATAAGCTAGATGGAAAATATTAAAATTGGACACACACCTGAGCTGCTTCGGCTGATGTTATAAAGCTCAAGCTGCATAGCTTCTCGAAGTTCTTCATTCCTCATCGCAACACTTGCCTTGTGCTATGGCACCTGATTGGAATCAAGGAAGAGGAAGGAAGGATGCGACTTACGCGTTTACTGTATATGTGTTCCCTGTTTTTGTATCTCCGCTTGATGACATTATCCAGGCTTTCAGTCCGCTGAAGACTTGGTGAGCTTGCGTATGACTTTAATGTCTGCAGGTCCGGGACGAGGAACGTGGATTGTTCGGGGGGCGGGGGGGATATAGTCGAAGATGAGGCAAGCGGTGGTGCATCCGATGGTGTCACTGTCTCAGCGGAAGAGTCGGAGGGTTCCCTGCGATTTGGGGCAACAGGATATGACGTCGGCAAGACTTCAGATACGTCTGGGGCTATGAGCATCGTGAGCACTCCAAAGAAAATACACCGATGAGGCGGACCTGTGGGTACGAAAAAATTCCAGATTTTGGTGCCAATAGTGTTAAGTGCCTGGGATGACATGACCCAGATAGTACGGGTTTCGCAAAGTTCCTCTGGTGTCGGACCAAAACTGCGGGGATAATATGCAGGATGTTGATGGAGATATGCTTGTCTAGTCGTGCGCGACAACTTTGTTGGGCGGGTTGGGACAGCCTGCTCAGTCGCTCGCCGTTTCCGACAGGCCATCGAGAATCTGGTGGGTGCAAAAGCGCGTTTCCAGCGAGAAAGGGAAGGGATATGTCGGATCCGCCGAGGCTAGGAGCGCCGAACAAACCAATAATAAAGGTTCCAGCGGCGGAACAAGTTAACTGGACATCAATCGTTTCTGTAAAGTGTAAAGTAACGGAGAGAGTGATGAACACACAAGTAACGGTCACATCGATCAGGACTGGTCATGTGCCTTGTGGAGGCCATTTGGGCACCGACAGCAAGCCTCCTTGGCTCAGTTGGCTAGAGCGCAGGTCTCATACCAGAGTATGATGTGCTCAGAGCACAGTGATCCTGAGGTCGCAAGTTCGAGCCTTGCAGGGGGCATTCCTTTTTTGAATTTTGAATTTCAACAATGTCATCACCATGCGTCAGTAGTAAGCATCAAAAGGAAATCCCACCCCACCCCACAAGCCTCCTTGGCTCAGTTGGCTAGAGCGCAGGTCTCATACTGTTGTATGATGTGTTTAGAACACAGTGATCCTGAGGTCGCAAGTTCGAGCCTTGCAGGGGGCAAATTCTTTTGTCTGGTTTCCTCGCGTTTGCTCACTCGAGCATCAAATTCAGCGAGCTCAAGACACATGGCGGTTCATATAATTAATGCGTGTGTTTTTTTGGTATATCTTACTACCGTACAAGATGTTGCCATCAACTCATATATATCCGGATGCTTCTCAGCCAAAAGAGTGACCGCACTCGGCACGGAGACGGGGGGCTTGGCGCCAAAATACCAGGAGAATTTAAACACTCCACCGAGTTCGGTGCTGATTTCCCCATAAGTCATACCAGGGGTCGACAGCCTGATACACCAAACCCGAGTCAAAGTGGCGCGGGCAACAGCCAATTCCATTTGGCCGGCCGGAAGCGTGATAAGATGAGATATCGGTAACTTTCCAGAGGACAAAATCGCGAAGCGCCAAGAAAGTGGATGAGACCATTTCACACATGAAGAGAGAGTGTGTCCGTCATGCATGGTGTTAGAAGAGGTAGCGGCGGTGTTAATGCGCTGATATAGCGTGTCCTCCACAACAGATTCCCGGGGAGGTAGTAATAAGCTAGCTTCTGATTGAGCGTGTCGCCATGGACCCGACGGTATCGCAGTATGAACGAGGCGAGTGCCCAGTTCGACAGGAGGCATGGATGGGCCTGGCCTAGAGGAAGACGTGTGTGCGTGGGTGTCAGATGGACAGCGCCTGGAGTGATGGAATCCGTTGAGTACTGGGAGAGAACAAGATGGAAGAAGCGAGGCAGAGGCGTGTGACTAGGATGGCCGTAACAGATATAAATGGAAATTATTCGGGAGCCATTCCTCCTGACTCCTGACCTTGACTATCTAACCGTCCTTTGTGCAGTTACCACCCCGCACACCCAACACCCATATATACGCTGTTTGACTCCTTTCTCCCTGTTTGAGTTCTTTGTCATCCAAGTCCAGTTACTTGCCTAGTCGTTACACCTCACCTCATCACCCACAGCATCTCTCTCTCTCCCGGATCAAGGATGGGCATGAGCTATCGTCGTTACCTTGCTGGGGAGCGTATCTACGGCTGTTCGAACTGCAAGACACATCTCGCCACTATCCATTCCATGATCTCGAGGGTAGATATCTTTGCTGCCACCCATCTGGGCTGTATTGTGTGCTAATGGACCCCTAACAGGCTTTCAACGGCCAGCATGGCAGAGCATACCTGTTTGATGTAGTGCAAGTACTCGAGGTCCTCTTCCTTGCTCTAGAAGCTTATCATATGGGCTATAGTGTTAATGTCATCGAGGGTGAGCCGAGTGATCGTCCGATGACAACTGGGAACCACACCGTGCGAGACATCTATTGTTGCAAATGCAGCACAACTCTGGGCTGGAAATATGTGTGTTGCATTTCCTATCTCGGCTGCCGTTTATTGACGGGGCTCCGCATCCAGGACAAGGCTTATGAGCCTACCCAGAAATACAAGGAAGGCAAATATATCCTAGAGCGGAATTTGCTTGTGGACGTGCAATAGTTTCGGCAAGTCGGGCCGCCGCCAAAGGCGCCTACCGCCCAATCTGGCGGTTGTATTCTGATGAACCATCTGAAGCCGCAACTCCTCTCTACCTCCTCAAGATAAACCATATCGTCCTCGGACTTTGCATCGAGAGTATTTATTTATACGTGGTGGCGTGTAGGCGACTATAGAGAACAGTAGGTCGGGAGAAACAGGTCTCAGAACCACAGGGCGCCTGGATGACCCACCCTCCCCAAACGTCACACAGTGGTATCCGCTGCGCCACATGCATCACCGCCCGCACATACGTTCCAACACGCGTGTACAGTGTATTACAACCCATTCCGAAACATCGTGTCAATCGGTGAATGTCGACTCGATTTGAACGCATAGAAAGCTAAACACCGCCTGCCGTATATTACCTTTTCCCCCGACGTTATAATATATTCCAACTATCCATCAACGAAGTACGTGGCCATCTCGTCACGATCCTTCCCCCAATGTACTTAGGTCCCCTGTTTTGAATAACAATCCTCATTCATTGCCACACTGTCACGTGCACCACCCCAAGGGAACACTCGAGTTGACTAACGTGAGACCTGGGTAACTGCGAGGGTGAGATGCTGGGGAGATCCAGTAGGAACCCGAGTTTCTCGCGTATTCTGACCGATGAATTTACCGCTGTTGGAGAGACTAGTCGGGATATTTTGGAGGCTGGTGCATGTGTTGTGGCCGGCCAATGAGGACGAAGAGCCTTGGCGATGATGATAACCGAACGATGATGTCGCAAAGGGATTGGTGGGTTTAAGTGTTTGTACATGTTTGGGCTGATCAACATCCCCAAAAGAGGAAAGAAAAGTCCGCCTTCTGCCGAAATCCCCAACGCAATGAATTTGTGCTCCCCAAGGATTCGACCCCCAACGTGAAAGGTGGAAATCATATATAACCCTCCATTTGCCTCCCCTGCCCTCCATCTTCCCCGCATTCCTCCACCCACCTTCCCCGCACCTTGTCCCCTCTATTTCACAAATGGGTATGTTGTTTTTTTTTTCCTGACTGTTTCTCAGTTGATGCTTACGTGTCTTTCAGCTACCATGTCCATGTCCCGCCCACTCGTGTCCTCGCCTCTTGCAGACGCGTCGCAGAGATCATCATCCGCAGCCCAGCGCATTTTGCCCAGACGGAACCCCTCCTTCCCGTCATCACGCGCTCTACGACCGTTCCCCACCATCTCCCATGCATTCCAACAGCCTACTTCGTCGTCGAATGCTTCGAGTAAAAATAAAAAGGCCCCCGTGAAGCTCATTGAGCCGCCAAAGGACCACAAAATGACATTTATGCTCGACCTTACCCAGGCCGAATTCAGCCGGCAAGATTAAACATTGCCCCATTATACCTATACATTCTCGAGGAGCTTATTTATCGCCGACTTCATTACAGCATTTGTCCTATTACATATCATCAGTACCAACACCATCTGTACACCGGTTCAGCCGTATGCTCGTTTTCCTATGATACCAAGCGCTTTTCTTGGAGGAAGGTGTCGTCATTACGCAGTTTAACCTTTACACGGCCAATTATGGAAAGTCGTTAGAAATAAAATATATCTGCCGTCCAAGCGAGTTGTTCCGGTGCATACTCAGACTGCGGAAATACGCACACCGGATAAGTCAAGTAACGTGCAAGTCATTTCCAGCCTTGCAGGCTGTGCCAAATTTAGTTTTTCATTTCCAAATTTAACCTTCAACTGCAGGAGGCAATTTATGTATCACAGGCAAAGGTTCGGACCGTTGAATTCCAGGCTCAGGAGGGCTTGTGTGGGCACTTGTCCTGGGCGCAACCAACCGCAGTTAGCATATCTGCTGATCGAGAGCTGTACGGACGGTTGGTGGGCAGGCTCGAGATCCTATCCATGGCACCTGACAAGCCGCTGGAGGGGAGTGTTCATCAAAAGCTTACGCACGTCCATCAGATTGAATGCTATGACTGTTCATTTTATGACTTCCGTTGTCGGTGTTTGACCCAGATGAAGCAGGGTTCGGCCAAGCCACTGTGGGACCCGATTCAAATTGGTCATTCGTGACACACGCTGCTATCACGCCGTCGGCGACCTGTCTATCGTCGCCCAACACTGAAAGGGGTGCGGGCCGCCCGAAGCTGGGGGTACTACCATGGACACCCTACTCCTACTGCTGTTATGCCCACGCCCGCGGCACTGATCAGAGATTCCCGCCGAGCCGTGCGGATCAGGAGGCTGGGAAATCAGATACTAGGGTGTATATATTTGCAGAGCGATAGGCGTCTATACACATGCAAGTGCTCTGTGTGAGATTGTGGGTGAAAATAGACAGAAACCACCGAAACGAGCCGGTGTCGCGTTTGGTGCACGAAAAGCTAGGATTGACGCGCTAATCAGACGGCTATTGTCATGATGCTGATAAGGGCTGGGTCCCCCCCCTGGAGGAGCTGAACATGGTGTGCTCTGGTGAGGAGCGGAGGACATAAAGTTCAGTCCATGCTGTATACCCGTTCGAGCTGGCGTGGGACGCAGATGGGACTAAAGGCTGCGACGGTGGGCGTTGGGTAAACCACGGAGAACAAATACATCCGATTGGGCGGGGTGACAGGGTGCGGTGGATGCGTCGCCTCGCGCCGGAGGCGTGTTCCGGGATGGAACAATAGTGAGGGGGAGGCGGAGAGAGTATGGGTATGCTAGGCGACGGACGGAGATGGCCGGGCACAGGACCACATGTCCCGATGAGGAAATTTTGGCCCAAACCTTGGCGTGCACCCCAGATCGGGCTTAAATCGTGGCCAAAAAATCCGGGAATGGAGTAGAAATAGGCTGATTTCGTGCTTGACCGAAGCACTTGCTGGCTCACTGCCCTAAATCCCTCTGCAATCCAAAGGCTCTCCCCGCGCCTTTCTTTACGACCATTACACGAACCACGAACTTGCACGACGACTCACACTTACATATTCTTTCTCTTTCACCGTCCAGCACCCTTCCTCCTATTTTCCTCGACGACGGACACTCTTTCACACCTTTTCTGAGGTATTCATCGTCTCTACCGTTGGCTTTTCCTCGCTCCCACTCACTTTCCTGCCCCCTCACAGAAATGGACAACTGGAGAGTAGCAGTCCTTGGTGATGGTGGTGTAGGCAAAACCGCTCTCGCGGTACAGGTGAGTCCTGGTTCCGCTTTGTGTAGACCACTTGCTGAGAATCCGCCTGCGACAGTTTACCCTCAATTGTTTCGTTGGTGCGTTTTCTCCTATTCTTGCTGTATTCTCCCCCCCACTCAGATGGTCTGCCCCCTTCCACAGAGGTGTGTATTGGTTTTTT